GTTCCCTTGGTCCAAGCGTATACGCAACGAGATAACATCGATCCAGTACGGATATACGCGAGAGAATACAGCTACCTGCTGGTTATCGTACCGTGGAAATAGCAAAGCGTGCTCGCAGAAACATAGCGTGAATTAGATATACGATTTTCGAATCATTTATAAGAGGCTTTTACTTCGCATTACATATGCAGAAAATTTTAATTCTGTCTCCTTGCATCGGATAAAGCAATGAGGATATTAATTTATTCTAAACAGCCCGATTGTTCTCTGTTACAATTAATGCAATTATTAATGCTTTTTAGCCTCTATTGTAGATCAAACATTTGAAGGTTGATTTGCGAGTCGCAACTTTATGCGCATTATTTCTTATTTCCTCGGGAATGAAGCCTAGCCGCTTTGTGCAGCGTAGTTCGCCTTGCTTAATGTCATGGTGTAATTAATGTCCGGCGATTTATACGCACGCCGTTATACGTCGCGCATTATTAAATCGATTCATATTCCGATGCAAAGCGCTGAGAGATTAACCGCTCTGGAACACGAGATTTCTAACACAATAAGAGGCAGATATTAGAGCCAGACAAAAGTATTCACAAATATACGGAAGTTTACTTTTTTATATGATTATATTTACATCCAAAGAAGATACTTTATATGTACGATACAAATTATATTTATGAATTACACGAAGATGTCACAAAAGATTTTTAGAACCAAAAACAAAATTGAGCAAGCAACCTATTTATTTTTTATTTATTTATCTATTTCATTAAAAAAATGTATTAAAAATTTGTGAAATTCTAGACGTATTAATCTATATAATAATTAAAATAAATATAACAGAGAAGGAGTATAGAAAGCTTGCGCAATGTCGGTGCGCAAAATTGTTTATAAATCAAAATTAAATACATATTATACATAAATTATAAACGCTAATTAATAATATTTTTTCGCAAGATATTAAACTAATTAAAAAGATAGCAAAGATATTAGTCAAAATTTAAATGTAGAATTTGTTTGGTTTCTTTTCACAAGTTTTAAACTTTAGCGTTCGCTATTGAACTGGTTGAAGTTTAGAACGATTCTTCGATTTAAAAAAAAATGATTTGTCTCATTTCTAACTTCGCACAGAGTAACTCATAAGTGCCACAAACACAATACAATATATTTCGATCAAATACACGTGTCGAAAAGCACCCTTATGCTCGATAAACTGCCCTTCCGGTTACTTAAAAAATTCTGTTTACGCCAAGAATGATTTGTCTCATTTCTACCTTTGCAGAAAATAACTTCCTATTTCTATTTTCATTATTCCTTATTTCTGGCACTTAGAAGTTACTTTGTGCAAAAGCAGAAATGGGACAAATCATTCTTGGCGTAGCTAGAATTTTTTAAGTGACCGAGAGGGTGGTTTATCGAGTATAAGGGTACCTTCCGACACGTGTATTTGATCGGAATGTTTTTTACCTTGTCTGATATTTAGAAGTTACTTTGTGCAAAAATAGAAATGGGACAAATTATTTTTGGCGTAGCTAAAATTTTTTGAGTGACCGGAAGAGGTGTCTTTCGACGATCGAAATATTTTGTATTGTTTATGACACTTATGAATTACTTTGTGAGCGAAGCTAGAAATGGGACAAATCATTAAAAAAAAATCGCTCCAGGAACGTTCCAAACTTCAACCAGCTTCACTATTACGTGTTTGAAAATTTATAAATAAATACCTATACGAACTACTTTTCCCTGTTAACTTGATACACTTCCCCGAATGAAACATTCCTTAAGGGTACAATAATTAATCTGCACGCTTTGTTCTTATATTTGCGAATCTCTTACTGGCTCTCCGTGTGAAACATTTTTACTCGTCGTTCATAATAAATGCCACCCTCGTCGAGCGTTAACGGACCCTCGCGCGGATCTTCGAGTGCGAAATGTACGAGTTATTGCTCGCTGTTGAAGTCACGCCGAATCGTGCGGCCTACGTCGACACGAGGCAAAAGACCGAAAGATACTTGCAAGCTCGCATTAAGTCCGCTCTCTCTCCTCTGTTTTCTTTGGTCCCGGCCTCCCCGCCTTCCTCGTTGTCTTTCCTCGTCGACAAGCACGGGTCTGCATCACGTCGGGAGTAAGAGGCGCGATCTCGTAATTATTACGTCGTGAAGGATGGGAAGTGACGCGATGATTACCGCCGTTGCCAGCCTCCTTGAAGCCCCCTGATGCACCGTTCTCTTGCTCCGCTTCTATTTTCTTTATTTACCGCCGCGCCGGGCTCCACTCGTGCGCCATACTTCGCGATTTGGCGACGAGGACGTCGTGTCGCACATCGGAACACGTTTCTCCGTAAGCCGTATAATATGTACGACGACGCTTGCGTTTTATGAAGATAATAGAACGAGAAAATTTTTCTCAAGCGCAGAACAAGTTATAACGTAATAGTAATTAAAGTTTAATTGGCATGACGATGACGTGATGACTAACAGCTTTCATTCGAAGTTTATAAACGGTTATACGTCTGCTCTATTCACGCATAGAGAAATGTCTGCGGTACTATATGATTGAACGTGCATGCAGGAGGCATCGAACGATTTTATCGTCGTCGGAAACAAAGGTTTCGAGTGGGATCAAGAGGGATTAGATTCGAATCTAATCTCGGCTTTTATTGCGACCGGAAATACGCTGCAGCGTATCCGATACAAAATATAAAGCACGCGAGGAGAGAGACCGACCCGGCGAATCATGCAGCAGTGAAAAAGTGCTGTCATAGTCCTGACAGGGTCAATTATCCCCACCGTCGACCGCCGCCATTCTCGACGTTAATTGTCGAGTGGTATAACGTAGCACGACATGCCGGCAGCGCAGGCGCCACAATAAAAAGAGGAGCAGACGAGGAGTGCGCGTCCTCCTCGCACGGTAGGATGCACCCAGCCGCCATTTTGGTGGCGGTGCAACAGAGGCGTAATAACTGCGGGAATTCATGGTAATGGCGATAATGCGTGCCCGGGCGGCGGGGTCCGCGGGGCAGAAGAGGATAGGGGCGAGGCCCCTCAAGAGGGCCCACCGGAGGAGTGGGGAAGCACCGCGTGTCATGATGCAGAAACTTGCGTACATTTCGTGCGTACGTGCGAACACCGATCCCGAAGGGAAGAACCATGGGAGCGGGACCGGCGTGTTTCTGATTGGTCGGGGCACATCAACCGGATGTGAAGGTCGGCCTACGTTGGGGGAAAAGCATCCGAGAATTATCCCCTTTGCAGTTTACACGTTACGATACGGAAACGCAGGGAGGTCCGTCGAATTCTTTTATAATTGACTTTTATTATCGTTGTCATGCACTCATTAATATATATTTTTTTGATCGATCTCCTCCATTTCGAGCTAAAATTTAATAAAAGAAGAAATTTCCGATGCGTAAATTAATATGTCTGGCGTTTATATGTCTCCGCTACAAAATATGACGGAAACAATTTTAACAATTAAAGTCGCGAGAATTAATGCTGACTGATACAGATGTGAGTTGAGAGATGAGCTAAATGAATAAAAAGAGATAAGGAAAGTACAAAGCTTCCAGTGATCTTGTGTCGCAATCTTCTATATGATACTGCTGCAGTTTTAATATTTTTCAATTTGTTTTTTTAACAGCATTATTATTTTCTGTCTCTTTTAGCATATAAACGAGAAATAATATTATTATTATGTGAAACTTTGCATTAAATGCATTTTATACTCTCGTAATTAAAACGGGGCAAAAATCACATTTACCAGAAGTGGCAAAAAACGTAGCACGTATGCTGTGTACCTACGCCAGGTTTACTTGTCATTACATTTAATGAACGTGCTTAAGACGATCACCTCATGTGCTCGTAATGATCTCTCTCATAATCGCACAGACGATCATTATCCCGTGTCCAACCCTTGATTTGGAGCAATTCGAAATAATGAAAATCCTCGTGTAGTACTTCCTGTACACGGCAGGCAGAGTAAGATATTAAGATCTCTGAAGAAATCGCCAAGTCGTAGCATGTGTAAGTATAGCACTAGGTATTTTTTTAAATTTTATCACAAGCTGCTAAATTATTAATTTAACGTTTCAATAAAAAAAACTTATAGGATTTAATTCATCTTTTTTTCTTTTTTTTTTATGAAATTATATCAAAATAATACATGAAATAACTTATTATATACGCGTATGTTATAATTAGAAAAGAATCTGGACACACTTGTGAAGGTGTCTGAAGAAGTAGAAATTTCACAGTATGGTTACATTGAATCTTCGTTGACGTTTATTCGAGAGGGATCTCCCCAAATCCTGAAGCACGTACTACACTGGAAAAGCTGTTTGACGAATAAACACGTTGCAAACACGAGTCGAGTGTGTGTACGAGGAATAACCCTCGGTCCCGATGTGGACAGATGTATGGCTCGAAAGGACACTCGTCGTCTTTCGAGAACTACTAGCTGAAGTGATGACAAGAAAAACTGACAGAGCATAGCAAATGTCGCATTACTTGAAGCGAACATATTTCGATAGTACTTCTACTCGTGCCCGACAGAAACTTCTTACTTGCTTGAATGACTTAATATGGAGCAATTAAAACATTTTAATAAAGTCCGATGTTTGAAAGTTAACGGTTAAGATTTATAGGATGGGTCGACAAAATTAAATATTCTTTTTTTCTCAGTGTCGAAATCTTTTTTAAATGTCATGCAGTGACATTTGATTTTGTGAAAGAAAGAATTTCTTGTGGTTTTTTATTTGTGAAAATTTGTAAATCTTACTCTCAAATGCCGCTAATGTGTCACAGGATTTATCTTTGAAGATGTAATTTTATAATATTTTTTATGTTTTTTATATAATGGCTTTTATAAGAACGAATTTCCTAAATTTTCTTGCTTCTAATTACGTTTGTATAATAAATAGTATGATAAATTGAAAATAACTGATATGTCCTCTGAACAAAGAAAAACGACAACGATTCTAATGCTACGAGAAATGTAAGACTTACCAAGGGTGCCATCCAAGGAAAAAGAATGCCTATCGTTTCTCCATGCCCATGAACACAAATCGCAGGTGGTGAGCCCATCGGTGGCGATGCTCTCTTCGGGTAGATAAGGTGGTCTAGGTGGCGGCGGTACAAAGCTCCCAATAACAGCCCACAGGGAATCGACGTCGTTGCCGACGCCGGTATAATACAATAATTCTTCCTCGGCGACACCGGCGAACCAGTCCATATCGTTTACACTAGGATGGACTGTGTTCGTACTTGTCGTGGTTGAACCGGTGACCGTGGCCTAGAAATAAAGCAATTGGTCAATGCAAATTCACATAACAAAAATTATATTTAAAGATGCGCTGTGTTCCTCATTCTTTCAATTTTAATAAAAAATGATTTTTAATTGCGAAAATTTTATAATTATAATTACAAAAAATAATTATAATTATAAAGTTATAATTATACAGTTTATAATTATACAATGAATGATATATTTTTATATTATACACGTCTAATAAATCATCCTCATATTATAATTCTAATTTCTTAAGTTTAATTATAACTAACAATAGTATAGAAATTTCACGTTTCTAATAATATCCTATTAATTAATTATATAAAATGAATCGCTGAGCGCAATCTACTATTATATTTAGTACGGTTTACTTTTTACTTGTCTGCTTATTATGTCTCCCTGGTGCTCTGACAGTCCCGAATAAACACGACTAATGGAACCCCCATCATATCCCTACGCGAGTTGTGGAAAAAGTCGAACGCGCATCCAGTCTGTCCCCACTGGTACATGTTTCAGGAAATGGCGGGGTAAACAGACGTTAAAATCAAAAAGTGAGGAACAAAGTCGGCGCATCTCTGAACATTCTTCTTGCTTGAAACAGTGAGGAACACCGGATGAAGCGGGTCTTCGCAAAGAGACGTTCAGTGTCCTAACTCTTACGACAAACATTGAAAACTGTATGGGCGGTAGCAAACAAACGCGCCTTCTTTCTTTCTCTGTTAGGTCGCTTCCTACGTCTTGTGCAGGAATTTAATGAAGAGACTTGATAAACAGCAACTAGACGTCCACACGTTAATTATAAGAAAATAAATTATCTAAATCTCTTAAATGTATTTTCAATATTTATCATATGGAACGGAATGCGTAGGAGACAACAAGGAGATTACAAATACATATATGAGAATTTATTTATTCCGATATAAATAAATTAATAAATGTAGTCTGCTGTTCGATAAGAATAAGTTCATTTTAATATGGCGTACGGAATGAAATATCATTTAATACATTTATTATTTAAAAAATGTTCAATGTGTATTGTCGTCGCGCGTGGTTGGTATGAACTGAACAAGAAAATCGAGAAACATTATGGTATATAATGTTGAATATTTCTGAGTGAATAGTATGAAAAAATCTATACATGATCTCTACATACTCATTAAACAGTGATTAAGTACTTCGAAAGTTAATTCTATAAGGGAAAATTCCGTGCCGGGGTTTAGTGAAGAATTCAGGAGTCAATATAGATAGCGAATTATTTGCAAGCCTCCTATACTGATGTTTTTGACCGTGCAGTAATTATATAATTATTGAAACACATAGAGAAGTATTAGACAGACGTCTTTTTTTTTCTTATTTGATTATCATAATTGCAGTAGTATACTTGTTAGAAAATATAGGAATTTCTTCGAACGCGGATCGCATGCAACTTGGTACTTAACTAATGACTCTATCCATCCGTAGCCACGAGGCATTCCGACGTGTTTCATGCGAATCGCATATCAATCTAGGATGCGCAATCAGATATTCAAGCGAAATGATACATTCGTGATTTTAGTATTAGAGATAAATGTAGTTCGCCATGATAGAACGGAAATATATTACGGCGCATTTAATATGCTTTTACAAATTACTGCAGTGCACGAGTAACTTCCTTAATAAATAGTATACGCATTAAACGCATTTTGTAAAGAAGAGCAATATTAAAATTAAAGCTAATATCTCATTTTGATTTATGTGTGTTTAATAAGAATATAATAAATTAGATAAAAATGGAAGATATCAATTGAATATAAGAGAATTTTACATCTATCTGTAAAGCATAAACTACTATTAGATAATAATGAAGATACCGAACGATAATCGTGTTCGTTCATCACTCTTTAAAAAGGATTAAAAGGATCGAGGGGCGTAGAAACAATGCCGTGCGAAGCGTTCCTCTCCATTGAATTCCATCAGCTTCGGATCTGGTTGAACGATCGAACGAAATAATCTCTCCCCGTGAGGGGATCCATTCGAGCATCCGCGGTGGTTCTTCGCCGTCCGACGTTCGCGTCACCGGTAGAAGACCCAACGGTTTGCGTATCATCGACGGGATCGGGAGAGTCACTGTGTTTATTCTCCTCCCCGTTTCTTTGTCATGGCTTTTCCACGGCGGCGAGGTGGTCGCGGTGCGAGATTCGACTGCAGGCAGGATGCGTCCTTGTATCCTCACGGAGGATGGGGTGCTTTTGTGGCGTGCGGAGGAGGCTCGTGGTCGGGACTGTGGATAGGAACCGGGAGAAGCGCTGTGAGGCCCCTCCTCGCTCGGCGCACAATAGCACGCATTGATCGGCTTAATTACCGTGATATCGGCGTAATTAAAGCCCCGTTGTGTTGGGGGCCCTTTCTACGAAGGCGTCGAAGTAACCCGTGACTCGACTCCCGGCGTCAGGATTCTCGCATTCTCCCCGTCTCTCTTCTCGATTCCTTCGTACGATTCTCGTCAAGGCCCCTCTGTCACTTCCCCGCGTTCCTCGGCAACGCTTTGTTAATAAGCCATTATCCGGCCGGCGACGCACCTTCGGCGGATCGGCGAGGCGCGCGTTCAATCGCGTGGTGCTTTTAAAGAAGCGCGGCTCGCAGAGGCCAGCCGTGGAGAAATTACCAAGGCAATCTCATCCGCGGCGTGTGCGGGACCATCCAGGTGGAGTCAATTTTTCAAGTGAGCACATCCGCTATATCGCGATTTGATATCGAGAAAAGAGACGGCAGATTATGACCGCGTGATGACGAGCGATATTGGAAAAAGCTTTGCCTAGCTCGTATTTCTCCCCGTGTTTGTTTTTTCTCGATTTTATACTTGATAAAATATTTCAACATTTTGAACACTTATATGTCTCACCAAATTTCGGAAATATTTTAAATAATTGTTATATTAATATAATATAATTATTTTTTTGATAATGCCAAGTATATTTAAATATTGAACACTATTATTAAATACATATGAATGTTTGTTTTTTTTTATCATCCATGTATATCAAACAACAATATCTTGAGACAATTGAAAATCAGCAGACTGTCACACGTGCGGTTAACTTTCCCGATTTCTAATGCTATCGTGATATAAATTTTTTGTGATACTATCTCATCTGCACGCGTTTGCATCGTTTGGATTTCAAGGCCAAAATCAAAATATCGTCTATTATCTTTCCAGATAGACAGTGAAAAAGAGGATCTCCCAGCCGAAAGAACTGTAGTCAATCTCGAAGTTTATGACCGCTTCAGATATAAGGTTAGTAACATAAGAAAATAGTTTACATTTCTATTCGCGAGATGTAACGATATTCACGTTAACGACTGATCGGTTCATTACCGCGCGATAATACTTCTTGTAATTCTCGCAATCACATAATTTTACAAATATTTTATAAATATTCACGTTCGCGTATTAGCTAATTAAATATTGAAAAATGGGGATCGTTCGATTAATTTGCGACATATCGGTATCGACTTAACCAGTACCGATCTATAGTGCTAGCACTTTGAGCTATTACTTTCCAATCTCATCTGCTGTGCTCGTTATATTCGAAGGAAACATCTCGTTATAATTACGAGGCGTTGGCGTTTACGAGCGAAAGGGATGAAGCCTTATACTTGTTAACTCTAACATCCTGTTCAACTGCGCCGTCGTTTCTGGACAAGTCTGACTCAACCCGTTAAAAGATTCGTTACCTCGAGCTTTGTGCTTTAACCGCGAATTCCGTGCGTTATGCGTTGGACGTTGAACAAGTCCCTTTGTGGTCGTCGTATATTATCCAAATTATTTAAGTGTTCATTGTGACTGGTGAAAATACTCTCTTTTATTTGACTAAAGTATCGTAAAATTCAACACAAAATTCAATACAAAAGGCTGAACCGTATGGAAATTAGGGTGGGTAAAATCGAAGTATTGTTAGAAATTAATAATTAATGTTACATAATTGCCATCTGAATGTTTTTGCATCTGAATATTGTTCACGGCGATTGACACATAACTTTTGTACGACAGGAGTGTAAGAAGTATAAGAAACGCCGGATTCAAAGGGCCGACATCGCCGAATGCGACTAAAATTATAGGGTCTCCCTCAAATTTCCATGTTAAAGTGGATTTAAGATTCTTTCGACGTTTCGGTTGCGATTCACACCATTGTCCCTGCGGCTTCTCCTTTCGTGTCCTCCCCTACCAACATTCTTCGTCTGTCTTTCCATCGATCTCTTGTCTTCGAATATATCTTAGAGCTCGCACCGCGGAATTCGCGCCCTGTTTCTATCGAGTCGCCGCCGTCGCCTCTCGACGTGTTTCGTCGGACCGCACGCATTTGCAATTCTGACACATTTGGCGGTGAGGTATAACACAGTGCACGCTATTCGCGGGCGAATCTGCCCTCCTCGAGACAGAGAGAAAGACAAAAGGAGGAGAATGTATACATGGCGGGAATGTTGGAATATCAAATGATTCTCGGAAAGATCCTCTCCTGGCCCATCTCTTCGTTTTCGATCCCGTTCCCTCCATCGTCTCTCTCGCTGACATCGCCTCGCGATCGTTGTAGCCCCCGTGAATTTTCGACGCTTCTTGGCGCAAGGCGGGGGAGGGGAAGACGTATCTCATCATTCTCCTTCTACTCTCCCTCTCCCTCTTTTTCCTTCCCGCTAAGTTTGAGAGGTCGTTAAAGATGGGTTCGAGGGCCAGGGCCGTATATAACGGATAATTGACAGCCGTGCCGGGGCCGCCGTTTGCTTTGCATGGACATTGAATCCGCGCGGATGGACGTACCGGCCGAAAGGAGACGAGAGGCGGCGCGACGTGAGGCCACGAAATTCGACCGGCCGGCCGAACAGAATCGCGAGAGAGAGCATGAGACGTGACGTGCGGGCCAGGAGGAAGCGGAGGGCAAATGCTCGCTCGCTCAACGGACTCGTAAATTCTTCAATTCTGATGTTCGGAAAGGCACAAACGCGATCGTGACATGGTACTTTCTTCCGCGCGAGGGGCAATCTCATTTCGGCTTAATTGCAACCCGATGCAGCGGTACTTCAGCATCTATCGGCCTTATCGAAAAAAGATAGGAAATTGGGGCAAAGAATCAAGAATGAGACTGAAAAAAATGTGATTTTTTTTTCAAGAAATATAGAGATTCTAAATTTGCGTAACGCTACAATAATTTTATAATTTGTAGCTAAAATTATAATGTTTCTTTATATCTTCATCTTTTCTGTTACGCTATACATAGCAATTAAGTATTTTTAGTTTGCAAACCTATATTAATCAATATAGGAACTGGATATGATTCAATTATATAATCGTGATATCTATCTCAAGTGTCATGTAGCATTTGCATATATCATATATTTCTTCATTAAATAGTGAGCATTCTAATAACGATAACAGCTAAAGAGACATAAAGTTACCGGTTTAATCGAGTTCTTTCTAAATCATACACGTAACTGATAAAGATACAGAGCAAGTAATGGACACTTGCGAAAGCGATGCCATGCGCAATATACAATTTCGCGAAGAGTAATACGTTTTCATTGCGCATGCATTGTTATTATCGGCGATTTAGCGAACACGGCCTAACACGCCCGATAATTGAGAGAGCAATTTAAACGGACAGACAAATGCGACAAGATTATAAAGATCCGTTTCGCGTTGCTGTACCCATACACGCAGTTTCGTACGTATATAATAGCCGAGGAGTCGCGATACGCGAACGTGCAGTTACGCGAATCGCAAGTGGAGCGTTCGTATAATGCCCGTGAAAGTATATGAAGTCTCCTTTAAATTACGCCGCAAATTACCGTCTCCCGCTGTTCGCCGTGCGCCGCGACCCCACGCGTGCCACGCAATAGCACGCAACACCCGCGCGCATTAAGAGAGCTAATGAACTTCTCAAGAGTATATTTCAGCCCGGCCGTACATTTTTCTTCGATGCGTTCCGCGTCGTTACGAAGACAACGGCGATGATGATTTTCACACCCGAGCGGCCGTTTTTTTTTTGCGAACTGCGCGCGGTCGACACACATAGGAGTACTCGCGCGCGTTGTACGCACGCACGCGCGAAGAATATTAACGCTCGTGATTACGCCAGGACACGACGGACCTTTAATGCTTATCCTCCTGTCGCCAGTAAAATGCGATTTGCAAAGGCTCTTTAATCAAACGACTTTATTATATGTTTGTGTCACTATATTTACCTAGTTATTCACGCACGATATGCTAATAAAAGACACGTATTATTACTCAGGAATTTAATAGCTATAGGTACTTGGTGTATGCCAAATTATTTAATTATTTATTCGCTATTGAAGTTACTTATCTGTTTAAAATAGAATAGATTTTTTCCTTTTATTAATTATTTCTAATTTTATAAACAGTTAAGTTTATATCTAATTTAAGTTTTTTTCATTTTATAAACAGTTAAGTTCCTATCAATGCGTTTACGAATACGTCAAACATTCACATTAATTAAAAGAAATTATTTTATTTTTATCATACGTTTCTTATTTATGAACGCTGTGATGACTATATTTAGCTTTCATAATTCTTTTTAAACATTTTCATATTAGTTTCATTCTCATTTTCTTCGGCGACTTGATGCGATAATATAGTTAAGCACAAATAGATTTGTAATTTTTGTGAGAATATCTTTCATTGTAATTTTATTATTATATATCGATATTTTTATCCCGAAGAGATTAGATGTTTGATTTCTGATTTCCAAAGTTAATTTCTGGTTTTATCGAAATAAAACCAAGATCAACGCCGAAATCTATTTCGTTCGCTTTCTTCTCTTCAAGGAAGATTGAAGCGAACGGACAAAAATGACTTGTCAAAAGATACTTTAGTTCTCCCTAAGAACCGGGTGATCGATCTAAAACGGCCAACAGGATCTACTGGTTCTGTTGACTTCTCGCAGGGACGTACCTGCGGTTTTCCGAACCTGTTTCTTCTCGTTTGTGCCTCTCACCTTTCCTGTTCGCAGCGGCTCGCGTTAAAACCTTGTTCTCATTTGGCTTGTACTGGGTATTGGGGACGAGATAAAATCCGGTGGCGGATTAGCCCCGGTAATGGCATCGATACAAAACCAGTCAGTGGACCGGCCCGATGTCATAATATTATGGTACGTGCTGATGTTAGTGGCGTGGTGTGACGCGAGAACTTCCCTTTCATCGGGTGGACAATGTTAGTGTAGCTGAAAACCGACGTGTCCGGTAGCGAATCAGCGATGTCGAATAGCCGTAGGCTTTCGTTGCTTTCGAGATAGAAAAAAAAAATAATCTTCCGAGCTAGAAGTCTAGAGAAAATTGTTTATTCCCTCCTACGAATTCTGTACGAATATAAAATATTTACTGTGCTAACAAGATGATCATTATTTCAATGGGGAAAGCAGAAGTCGATTGTAATAGGGACAATAGGGGCCCGAATGTGGCAGAGCGGATGAAATGATGGCGCATGCGAATCCGCTGTCCCATTAATTTTCTGGGAGAGCGAGCACAGGACTTGCCGATAATGAGTTAACGTGGGATCGGGGATCTCGTTTATCTTCGTCTTTCGAACTCAAACTCTTTCTCGCGTGCATCCACGATCGAACTTGATGAACGTTCTATGACTTATCTCCGTCCATCTGACCGCGAGGCCGTGATCGTAGGAGGTGAAATGGCGAGGAGGGGAAACAACGACGCTGAACTGAACTGAGGGGAGGACGAAGAGAGGATACCGTGCGGTATATAGTAGACACCGCGACTACTTTGTCCGTCTGTACGCGTTGAATCATCCGGTCGGTTTCCTTTCACGAGTCGATGGCAGCCGTTCCCGCATCAAGGCCTGTGGTCTCCTCCGAGCAAGCATAATGACTCAATCCACGATCCACCTTGCCCCTACCCTCATCCTGACCACGAGGAGATCTCTCCCTCTTTCTCCTTCTGACTCTTTCTCTTCCTCCCCCTCCCCCCGACTTCCCCTCCCGCCGTGCCACCCCATCTCTCTTTATCTTACGAAGATTATATACGTCCGTTCGTCTCCGGCGAAGCCGAAGACAAGAGATCTGTGGTTTTTCTCGTGACCGCCTGCTTTACACAGTTTCCTTTGCCGCTGTATTCTTTAAACTCCTTCCAACTACTCTTTATCTTTGTCTTCTTGTTCTTCCTCTTCATCTTCTCCGTCTTCTTTGTGATCGACCCTCGCAGAGTCGACTTCAGCGGCGTTAACTCGTGCGCTCGCGTGACGCCGTGCTGTTTATAATGTTGGACGAT